CTTTCATTCAGATTTTATTTAAAATACCTATTATTTACCTATTATTTATATGCAACACTCAAATTGCATGTTAATTTGCTTTGAAGAAAAGGAAATAATTTATGATTTATGTAACATTTATGTAAACTAGTCTATAATCACCTTGCAATTTTGAAATTATAGCTTTTTTTGCTTTGAGTATAGACTATTCAGTTTATAAGATCAGTTCAAACTTTTATGAAGTTTTTAAAATAAAATCAGTTTTTCACTATATAAAACTATAACATTTTGAAATATTTATTGGCCTAGATATCGGCTATCAGCCTCCGAATAGGTTATCTGTTATCGATATCGGCCCAAAAATTCATATCGATGCATCCCTTGTCTCTCGTATGGTACAACTTTAAGCCGATTGTAACATATACAATAAGCTTACAGTAAAATAATGATATTAACCTAATAATAATATTGATTTCATAACTGCTGTGTATCTGATGTGCTTTTCAGAGTCTGAGAGATTTATGTGGCCAGATGTAGGCTAAGTGAAATAGTTTTCACAAATCAGATAGCTGTCCAATCAGAGAAAACTCATGAATTCTCCATTTATAAACAGATCCAAAGGAGTTTAAGTCGTTAAATAAGTAAATTGAGTTGTCTAAAATCATATGAAATTTGACTAAAATAAGAGTGAAGATAAAAAAAATTCAGATGACTAAAATATCACAAAAAATATATGTTTGTCTTCTATTAAAGTAAATCAACAAAATTTTGGTCAAAATTACACAGCTATACATCCTGTGCTGAAAAAAGCACACTGCAGCAATTAATGTGAATATTCATTCATCGCAACCCATCCCCGGGAAACATCCACACACATTCACACACACACACTCATACACTACGGACAATTTAGCTTACCCAATTCAACTGTACCGCATGTCTTTGGACTGTGGGGGAAACCGGAGCACTCGGAGGAAACCCACGCGAATGCAGGGAGAACATGCAAACTCCACACAGAAACGCCAACTGTACCAGAGACCTTCTTGCTGTGAGGCAACAGCACTACCTACTGCGCCACTGCTTCGCCCTAATGTGATTATTTTATGTGATTATTATAGTAGCCTATTATTTTTATTGTCGTTAATTATAATAATAGTATTTAATTAATTAATTTTTATCTTGAACTGGCTTACTGAAAATGACAAGTGCTTCTTCTTAGCCAATTTACTGTAGTCAGTATCAACATAAAATCTCAGGGAATAAAAGTAAAATACATAATAGAGACGTTCTCAATTTATGACTCCTTATCCACAATGATCAGAAAACTGACAAAACAGGCTCTGTGTCCAAGTCAAACTTCTGAACAGGAAAAAAAATCTGATCTGTTATAATAGCTGAGAGATGTATCCCCACCTTACTGTACTCATCAGGGTGTCTTCGGCGTAGCTTGTTGACTTGATAGAGATAACATGGAGGTATGATGACAGAGTGGAACTCTCCAAGATCACACAGATCATCGGTCAGACTGGAAAGACAGTCATCATGCACTGTGGTTTGACACCATACACACCTGTTCCCAAACAAAAAAAGCAAATGCAAAGCTATTATACTATATTACACTGAAATTGACACTTTGTTAAATGCAAATTCTCTGTGTGTAACCTCTTAGTAACTACAATTCATAGATAATACAATCTTCATAAATCATGATGAAATACAACAATTTGCTTTTAAATAATTTTAAATAAGTTCTTGCTTTGTCTGGAAAAATCTCAAAAGTAAACAGAAAAGTAAAGGTTGTCTTCTAATGACACTGATGAGATTCTCATGAGAAACTTTGTAAGACTTGGTTTGCTTGGGTGTCATTTTATGTGTAAATAAACTGTGTGCTTTTAACCAACTTTTTTTCACGTTTGATGTCATTTCCAGTGAGAAGATAGCACTATAGAAAGCAATTATTTCCTCAGTTATCACCAAAGTGCCCTTTAGAGTAACACTTTACTGTTACAGGGGTACTCATAAGACTGTCATGAACCCCTTATAATCATGACACATCATATGTTATAAATATGGTAGAGATTTTATAGATGCGTTAAGTGGCCTTCTATACTAAATGCTAATAGTCGCAGAGTTTAGGTTAAGTCCCGTATTGCAGTTTGCACACGCTACAGTAGCTGGGGTATATTTCCTTTGACCCACTGACATTTGTTATAAAAATGGAAGAGATTTTATAGATGCTTATGACTATGTTAAGTGGCACTCGCTTAGGTGTGTAATTTTAAATGCAATGATGAAAATGTTTGACATGTCTTTGTTATGAAAACCTTACAGAAACAAAAGCATCTGTCTTTATTTTGAAAACTTAACATTACCAAGTCAACATAGCTCATCTTAAATCTGTCAAAACATGATCATTATAGGCCATTATTATTGTCAATATTTTCCTGATCACTTTTTCAATGGAACAAAATGACTTTGGCATTAAATTTTCTTATTAAAAGTGTCATTACTCTGTCAATTTATTATTTAATGACAAATTAGTTTTGTACCACTGTAGTTAAAGTAAAAAACAAATGAAGCTGTTAAATGACACAATGATAATGACATCATGACGGTCAGGTTTATGACTGATTTATGACTATTTTTGCTGTCTTGGTAATGTTAAGTTGTCATGACAAAGACATCTCAAACAATGTCACCTTTGCATTTAAAATGACAAAACCAAGCAAATGACATTTAATGACAGATGTCATAAGCATGCATAAAATCTCATTCATATTCATTGATGTGTCATGTCATGATTATAAATGTTTAATGACAGTCTCATGAACAACCCATCAAGTAAAGTGTTACCCTATTTTTGTGCACATAACTAAAACATTAAGCGGTCTTAAAAGTCTTAAATGAGTTTTTGCGAGATGATTTTGTGCACTAACACTGCCTTAAGGCAGCATCCTAAGCTTTTGTATGCAGCCACTGTTAAAACTATAAAAGGAATAATGAATAAAAATAATATTATTAAGAAAAGGAAAAGAAGAAGAAGAAACGAAGAATGATGATGAGGAGGAGGAGGAGGAGGAGGAGGAGGAGGAGGATTCGCCTATACTAAATACCTATAGTCGCAGAGTTTAGGTTGAGTCCCGCATTGCTGTTTGCACACGCCACAGTAGCTGGCGAGGGGTACATTTCCTTTGACCCACTGGTGGCAGAACTTGCCATCTGTCTGGTTCTGTGTCATGATCTCCTTACATGACAGAATGCGATCTGCTCTCTGTATGCACTGCTCATCCGAACATATACCACAGCAGTCACAAAAAGCCCCTTGCAGGATGGGCTGGCAGCACACGCAGCAGTAGGTGGGCTTGTTGAACAGGTCCGTGTAGTGCCAGCCGTGCTTGCTTTTTCGGAACAGATCTTTCAACTGAATTTTTCGTTTAGGACGCTGGAAGCTGCACCAAAGTGTAATAAGCACTGGAACCAGAACAGCAAACGTGGTCCAAAGGAACAAAGTCCACTCCTCCCTCGGCTCTTCGGTATTTTCTTCCATAACCATAAATCTATTCGTCGTGTAAAATTGAGATCAATCGAGAATGGTCAAGAAATGCCAGCGAACGTCATCAATCAAGGTGATGTAGCTTTGAGACCCAGCAACAATCTTCCATTTCAAACCCCATCCGAGCAATCACATCAATCTCTCAAGCCAGTGCTCAAAACCTGAGTCACACTGATGTAACAGAACCTACAGCCATCGTAAACATGTCCTTGCTGTCAGGCAGTTGGTACAGCAAGACAAACTGTAACGTTACTCACAGCAGATGAAATACATACAGTCTTGTACTCTTTGTTTTCAAACAAGAAATTGCGTATTCATTTTTGTTTTCCGAGTAGTTTAAAAAGGCTCTAGTAGAAAACAAACCGCGCATAAAAATCTCACAAAAATCATCCTGTTCAATACACGGAAGCGGAAATGATGACGTAGGCTGATGACGATAAATTTTCAATGACCAATAGGAACAGTACGTGAGATAAAAGTAAATAAGAGTATGAATCTGTTCACGCTGTTTTATTTATCTGTTTTATAAGAAAAAACATAGACCGCTGACGAATGTTCCAAAGAATGTTATTAAAAGAATATTATGCGCACAATATACAATAATTGATTAAATAAATATAATTTGTAATAATCACTTCAATAATATCCAGCTGGAAATTTGTAACTAATTTTACCCCAATTAACATACAAAACCTAGGTAACACAATTACAAATCAATTATAATTTATAAAGTTCTAGGAAAATACATGTTTACTTTAGATACGAATGAAACATTTTACATTATTTTTTAAATAGCATGCATCAAATGGTGAGACAATCTTGAGAGCATTTTGTAGCCTTATGCTCGGATAAGCTAGTATTAACAGTTTTTATTTATTTTGTAAATTAGTTCAGTTCAGTATTGAACTGTCAATGCAGCAAAATGTCACCGCATAACATCGTTAAACGTAAATCTAAGGGAAGAGGACATCTTGTGGAATATATCTGCAACTACATACTTATTTAAACGCTCACATGCAGGGGCCACTTGTGTCAAGCTGCAGGCCCGGCGACCCAACCGCTGCAGCTTCAATTGTGTTCGGTGCCCACATCCAGATTTGTGAGCACGCACCCAAAGACAATAAATAAATAAATAAATAAATTCATTCATTCATTTTTTCAGCTTAGTCACTTTATTATTCTGGGGTCACCACAGCGGAATGAATTGGCAAGAAAGAAAGAAAGAAAGAAAGAAAGAAAGAAAGAAAGAAAGAAAGAAAGAAAGAAAGAAAGAAAGAGAAAGAGAAAGAGAAAGAGAAAGAGAAAGAAAGAAAGAAAAGAAAAGAAAGAGAAAGGAAAGAAAGAAAGAAAGAAAGAAAGAAAGAAAGAAAGAAAGAAAGAAAGAAAGAAAAAGAAATGTAAATGATTTTACAATCCGCCCCTTTGTGAGAGTCACTGAATAACGTCTCCTGTCTCCTCCTCAAAAGTTAAACACTCAAGTGCCGTTATTTCGAGCTGAGGACGAACAGAAAGGGAAAATGAAGCCGTTGGCTTGCCTTTTTTTCGTGGCCTTACTAACCTTCTTCACTGGTATGTTTTTCTATTGAAAATTTAGGAGTTTGATTTCAGTGTGTGATCTTTTCACGATGTGTAACTTGTTATGTAGCCTATAATTGTGTGTTTTAGACTGTTTGGCATAAATAGCCGTTTCTGTAGACTATTCGTTTGATTCTTGTTTCAACGGCAATGTTATGGGAAACCGTAAAAACTTTGTTTCGTTGAATTACACATGGCGCCACGCACGTACGCACACACACACACACACACACGCACGCACGCACGCACACACACACACACACACACACACACACACACACACACACACACGTATATATAAGCTTATCTTGCTCATTTATTTCTTCATAAATACAGTTCAAATTGTAAAATTGCGAAATGTTGTTGCACTATAAAATAACTGTTCAATTTATAAATTATTTTGATAATTTTAAGTGATTTTAAAGATGAGTTTTCAGCTTCATTACATAGGCTATGGTCTTTCAGAAAGCACTAATATTAATAATAATAATAATAATAATTATTATTATTATTATTACTATTTGAAACTACATACAATAAGAAAGCTATCATTGATATTGTTTATAAATAATTAACAATTAAACACTTTTTTACATTTAACAAATGCCGCCTTGATGAACAGAGTACTTTTCTTAATTAAACATAAAAAACACATATACATGCCACGTCGGTGTTTACCGTGGTACAGTGTTTTCATGCCTCGCGCAGGTCAGAGCTCCAGGTCACGCGCGCGATAGCGCGCCCTCCTCGGAGAGAAACGATCATGAATGGTCACTTGTTTTATACAGAAAAACAGCTCTGGAAAGAGACGGTGGTGGGAAGGGAGGTCTGTGTGAAAGAGTGTGGGAGATGTAGACAGAGAAATGCCAAAATTCAAATTAGACCACCAAACAGGACAAAGTGTATAGACTAAAATGAAATTAGCTAACATTCTTTTCTTTTAATTTTTTACACCAAAGTAGGTGATTTTCTTTGTTAAAACTAACCCAAACTATGGGCTGAACTGTAAAATTCACATGTTTAAAAACTGTTTAAAAAATTCAGTTTGTGATACAAATATGCCTTTTAATAGCAAAGAGTTGTAGCTTGAATCTAATTTAGATTTTTTGAATCTGGCTTAAAAGATCTCAAAGATAAAGAGAAAGAAAAAAAGTTTACACGTTTCATCAGTCTCCCCTACTAATGTACTGTATATGTGTGTTATAGAAGCAAATCCCATCATTCAGGAGAGCTTCGCAAAGCAGCTACTTCGCACCAAGAGACAGAAGCCTGGACACCCTGATGAACCTATGAATGTGGGGAGCCAACAACAGAATATTCTATTCACATATTTATTAAGCTTTTGCAAACATCATACATTACATACTGACAGCAGTTCTCTGTAAGCTGAACGATTAACAAATAAGTCAGTTTGTGCTTGTTTTAAATAAAAAAAAATTCTTAATGTCAGTATTCATTTTAGAGTTCGTTGTGTGTTTCAGGAACACTTGCTGCATATGCAGAGGCTGGAGCAGAAGGCTCGAGAGACCAATATGGAGCACTGGCTAAACCCTCATTGTTTCCCGCGGTGTGACCGCAACTACGGTTATCCTGTGTAACCAAACTGCATGATCTCATAGGTTCGGATACTTAGTAGCTACATATGCAATGCTTGAAATAAATAATGACATAATTAGGCGAACAAATTCATTTTAACAGTCAACTTTTTTTTGAAAGTTAAACATTAAAAGAATTCTCTTTTTTTGTAGTAGCCTAATGTTTTTAGACAATATCTAAAATGAAAATAAACCCAGAATAATGCAAAATTAATAGACAAGAAATAACTGTTCTTCTGTAGGGTGAACTGTATAATAAAACTTATAATAAACCTTATATCCGACAAGCTATTAAATGTGTGATGTGTATAAATCTGTGCTGCTAAGTGGTTTTCTTTTCCAGGGTGAAGACAAAAATTTAGTTGACGACAATGCTGATGAATACAATAATATGGATAAAAAAGAAATGCTGAGATGAGGACACACGAAGCCGTGCACCCCGCCATCATAGGATAAACCATTTTAACAAGCGATGCCATTTTAAATCAATAACTTAACGATTGACTAATTAATTAATCAATTAATTATTAACGAATTGCAAACATTTCTATTAAAAGACTTTTAACAGAATAAAAACTTTGTGCTCAAATTGTTGACTATTTACTGACTGCGCCTATTTTAATCGCATTATGCTACAGGACTGAACTTAAAACAATTGAGTAAAATCGAATCTATAACAGCTTTTTAAAGATTTCTGATGAGTAAGCCTAAACTGTACGTAAACACACGGCACTATCTGCAGGCCGTTGATCGAAAGCGCATTGAATGTGTGGCCTATACGTAAACATGGGTTTAACCATTGCCCCTTATCACCCATGCCCCTTATCACCCATCATGTGAATCGTTTTTTTACTTTTACATTTTGCACTGTGAATCGTTTTTTTTTACATTTTCACAGTAGCCTATTTAGTGCCATTATGTTTTATTGAAGAAAGACTTGCTTCGTTTATTTTGATAGTTTTTATTTTTAAATGAACTTTTAAGGTTAATATTGGTATTAGCCACCTTTTAGGATTTTTTTCAACAATTTAGGCTTTTGTCCGACTTGCTTAATATAATACTTAATAACCTTTTACGTCTTAAAATGACTCTTTATTGGGAATACTATCTTGCAAAATAACTGGTAAAATATTATGTAGGCTACTGAAATCATAGTATAGACCAAATAAAGATCACAGATCAATTTACAGGTTATTTAAGTGCTATGACACATTCTTAAGTTTGCAACGTCTAGGTTTTTCAGTTTAAAAGTAGCCTATATCAGGTTTAAATGGCAATGTGGGGACAAGAGGAGCATTTAAGTTTCACTATAATAGCCATACCTTATTTTCATCTTCACGTTAGTTTAGTGTTTGGTTTCATATGTTTTATCTAAATAAGGCATATTACCAATAATAATAAATATTCAAAAACGTTAGATATTTTTAACATTTTGCATTATTAGGTTTAATTATTGGGTTGAAATTTAAAATGAAAATGTAATTTAATATTTTTTGCAAAATAAAGGACAAAATATGTTTGCGCATAGCATTAACAGATATATTTAAGCCAGTAAATCCAACACATATTGCTGTATTACACGTGTGCGTTACAATGTGTTACAAATATAAACAACGTGCAATTTATAGTTGGAGTGAAATTATTTGTTCTACATTTCTACAAAATACTGCGCAAACCGGCGCAGTTAATGAGCCGATTACTTTTTACCTTTTAAATAAACGTGTACTGTTTTTTATAGTATTTTTTTAAACACAAAACTATTTTTCTTTTTACATTACGATCTGTATGCTGAAACAAGCCTATATGATTTAATACGTCTCATTGAATATGGACAGTGCTCGTGCTTATTATTGATTCCATTTGTGCTATTTATAGACCCACGCATCAATCGCCCCACAAAAATAAAAATAAATACTAGAACTATACTAAATAAATATTGATTAAAGCTGGCGTTAAAATAAGACAAAAGAAACGTTAATTATTGTGGTTTACTTTTTAGTTTGATTTGAAAATTTGAATTTCATTTGACACTTTTTAATATGCATATTAAGTTTGTTGTACCATGGAACAAGCATACAAGGTAACTGACAATATAAGCTGATATAAGTGATAAAATTCCAAAGAAATTTACTTTACATTTCACATAATGACAAGAGGTAATATTGTGAGGCTAGTTGTGAAAAATGCCAATGTATGGTAGTTTTAATATTATTGTAGACATTGACTATAATGGGCAATATAGAGACAATAAACTAATTAAAACATATTTACAACAAATGAGAACTCCTGTGTTTTTGAATGCAGTTTTAGCTTTGTTTGACATGTCTACTGCATGCACTCCTCTTAAAGCAGCAGTTTCACAATAAATACAGATTTCAGTGTGACAGAAAAAGTTTCATACACAATGTGGAATATTTATAACAAAAATGACTTGTATGAAGATGGAAAATATAAATCATGTTTTGTCTTTGAAGAAGCCTTCATCTGTATTACTCTCTTTGATTGTTACAGTCAGGAAGTTTGTGGTCACATCAGTAACTATAACTTTCTCCACATTTATGAAGGAGGGTCTCCAAGCATCTTCCACCCCAGGCTCTCTGAATATATGTGACACTGGGATTTTGGCAATAAGTGAAGGCTGTCTGCTGGTGGAATCACCATGTTCAAGTGTTCTTTTTTTTGAATAGTGCTTCAGGTGTTTCTGGTGAAAGTGGTTTGATTGTGGATTAGTCCTGTGGCCCAGTAAGCCTGCCTCCATTCTGCTGGAATGCAAACTCCACTGTGGAGAAATGTGCAGGGTACTCCTGCTTGGAATGACGTTGCTTTGTTTGTGTGAACAGGTAGCATCCAAGTCCTTGTGAGATATTTTAAGTCTCCCACTTATGTCAGGGCATCTCTCATCATCTTCCCCCAAACCTAACTTAGCCATTTTAGAAGGAATGCTTGCCATGGTTTCATCTGCTGCTCGTTTTACATGCTCTGGATGCAAATTGCTTATATACCCATCTGTGAAGCGTAATTTGGGCTTCCGTCCTCTCTTTTTTGGGGTAAGGCTAAATTCATCTGTGGGTCTTGGTGAGTGTGGCGAATGATGCTCTCTTGGTTCTGGGGACTGAAGCCTTACACTCTCACCACGGTTGACTGTGCTGGGAGGGAAAATGGTGGGAACCACAGCGCGAAGGCCCTCTCTCGCTCTAGGGGCTACTACAGGCTCTGGACTGGAATATGTAACATGAATGCCTCTAGTTGAGTCATTCCTAAATTCATACGACTTTGCCTTTTCTTTAGCTTGGGCCTGCAAATGGGATTTTTAAAGATTAATGCAGAATACTGTGCAGAACAGATACTGACTTTTTTACATACATAAAAAAGCTTAGTGACAGCTCAAGGATAAGTGAACATAACAAGAAAAATAAATTTCACCAAAAATATCTTGAAAAATAATGTAATTAAAAAACAAACCTTTAGGAGAAAAGTCTTGAGTTTTGGCCCTCGTTTCTTGGGACCAAATATTTCTCGCTCACGCTCCCTGAATAAAAAAACAAAAGCATGAGTGAATAATTTTTTTTGTTGTATTATCAATTATATTTTTACATTTCCATTACCTCTCTTCAAATGCGACGAAAAGACGTGGGTCTAGGATATTTTCCTCTGGTTCCCAAGTACTGTACCTGTGAAAAGAATAAGTTTCAAGTGATAAATGTTGATCTTTGGCTAAATTTAAACTACCACTTTACTGCCAGGCTAGCAGGAGACATTGTAAAAAACTTAATGGCTTAATGTACCTAAACATCAACAAGAGAAGCCCAAATTTTAGCCAAACGTGACTTGTAATTAACACTAATGTAAAAATCAAATGTTTCTACCACAGAAGTCTATTATAAGAAAAAAGCTTAACATGGCATAATGTACCTTAACAACAAGTGGGGAAAACCACTTAAAAATTTCAATCAGACTGTACTCATGACAAACACTTTTCTGTTGTCAAAAGACTGAGCTCTTATTTCTGTGATTGAAAACTATGACATTTAGCATTTTCTTCATATTAAAGTCCATTATAAAAGTAAACAGCATAGCATGGCTTAGTGTATCTTACCATGTGGGGAAAACCAAAAATATATCAAATTTTACTTGTAATTAACACAAACTACTACCAAAAGGTTAAGCCTTAATTGCGTAGATAAAGTGAACAATGTCACATTAAGCATTTTATCCCCATTAAAGTCATTATAAAAGCTTGATGTGGTTCCACCAAGAAACAATCAAAATTTCTATAAAAACACTCACAATAAACACTTTCTCCTGCCAAAAGATCAAGCTTCTATTTAGTGCATAAAGTGAACATTATCACTTTAAGAATTCTTAACGTGACTCTGTCTGGGTAAAACAAATTAAAATAAAATTCAATACTTTCTGCTGTCAGGGAATGCTCTTGTGTTCATGTCACTGACCCCCCAATAACATCCTACAGGGAGAAAGTGTAACATAATATTGTTCTCACTTCAGAAGTGAAAACAGGGCTCATTCTTCTGATTATTTAACAAGTTAGTTAGTTACTATTTACAAGTAAAAGTTGACAGAAATGTGTTTTTTGTTTAGGTACGGGTAGCTACACGTTATGCTTTTTCCTTTTAAATGTGTTATTGTTCACTCTATCTATGGAATTGCGACTTCTTTTTTCACAGATAGTGTTAATTACAAATAAGGTTGGACGGAAATTTCGGTTTCTGGTTGATGTTTAGGTACAATTAGCCACGTCAAGCGTTTTTCACCTTGTGTGTTTTAGAATAACCCGTTGACAGGGCCAGCTAAATGTTGCAGCATGTCATCTGTCAAAACCAGTGTGCAGCAATAACCAGTAGCTAACCTGTCAATGAGAATATATGGCCCTCGCAACATCTAGAAGGGCTGACAGCCATCGCTGTCACAAAACACCAAAACAAGGAACAACAGACAAAATAGGTATTACTTACTTAGGTGACCAACCCTTCCATTTCACGAGATATTCCATGTGACCCTGCGCGTGCCGTCAAACAGAAAAAAAATCGTTAACGCTAATGAAAGCCGACGACATGAGCAGACATGTAACGTTACAGAATATGTCGACATCATTCTTGGACAACATTCCCCCACACATACCCGGCGTATTCGTCTCTTGATGATCGATTCAGCAGCAAACACCCTCTCCCCGACAGCCGACAGCTCCATGTTTTCCTTCTACCGTTAGCTTGCAGCGAAGCTAGCTGAGCGCAAGCTCTGTCCGCCTACTGCTCTAGCTTCAGAATTGCACACAGCCC